TTCCTCTAAGATCCTTCTGAGGCCGAAAGGAAGATAGGAGGAGGAGAAGAAAGAAGAAGAAATCAAGGAGAATGACACCGGAGAAAAGTAAAGATTTTTTGACAAGTCCTTTGATTGACGTAAATTGTGTTTATCTTAAGTTATAAGATAGAAACTCTCTAGAACGAAATTTCTAAGATTATTGACCTATGTAGCGGATAAATACATTAGTAAATTCGAATTCTTCCGATTCACTGAAGTGATTCGTATTGCCAATTAGTATATCGACGCGTGAGTCTCTTGTATACTCTCCTTCACGAAATAGGCCCGGATTTGATTATTGCAGAAAGAGAAACAAATGTCCAGCAGTTCGAACATTGGACATTGTTCGCCGATAAATTTATACAGGAGTGTTTGAAGTGTAAATGAAATCTTAGTTTCCAATCGCCTTGTGCGAAATGGGTTTTTCAGCCATATCCAATCCTCTGCGGAGGTAGACGTCTTCCCCTCCGACACATGACGGCAAGCAAGTATTTTTTGACAAACAGCTAAAGCTAGTGGGTGAATGGAACATGTGGCACAGTAATTAAAGGTATGGTATGTGACGTACACCCCACGGTGGCGTCCCACTCGAATTTCAGGGAGTGATTATCGATTCCCGGCACCTCCAGTATTGACGTCATTACTAGTTTCGAAAGTGTAGGGCATGATGTATCCCGGGAAGTGGGGCGTTCCTCCCCTGCTGGGACTGGAGATCCGACATTAACCTACACGTTCGCTTGCGGAGGTTTTTCTCCCTCGAAATATTAGAAATGTCAGGTAAAGGCGAGCTAAAATTGGTGCTTCGAAAAATGTATAGTAGATTATTGAAAGTGAACTACTTCAGTTATATTATCAATGTAATGTTATACATTTTATTTACCAAAACTGGATATGCTGTTTTAGCAAATTATCGGTATTAAACTTTTCAGAAAGAAATTATGAAAGTTTTCAAGCCAAGAAACAATTTCGGGTGTGACAGGAAGATTGTAAAGACGCTATTGTTGTTGTTGTTGTTATTATTATTATTATTATTATTATTATTATTATTATTATTATTATAACAAATTATTTTGTGGAATGCAGTCAAACAGAAAACGGAGGTTGAAAACAGTCTAGGATTAGAATACGGGATTCTCAAAATTCCGGAACGGACAGTATACCTTTTCATTATGATATCGAAATTTATACTCAAGTTAATGAGCAGAGTAAGTCAAGATGAAAGTGGTCAGTTGAAGAACTGCGCGGATCGTGGCGAAGAGCCCAACATTCCAGGCAGCCGACGGCTTCTGCTTACATTTAGAAGCTCGCGCCACCCACATTATTGCGAAGATTTTGGCAACTAGCGGCCTGCACGAGCAAAAAATGTCGCTGGTCAAACCTACAAAGTGATTTCCTAAAAGTACCACGCACACTACTGACAAAAAATTCAATAATGTAGTGAAACACTGCAATAAATTAAATATTTCAATTTTTGCTGCGACACAACATGTTTCAACTCTCATGTGTTAGAATCATCTTGTCTATGTTAGATTTGTTCTTAATCTAAATTTTTTCTTGAAGCTCCGTTATTATGTGCGTTGGTGGTTGTGTAAATAGTAGCTATATGTACTTCTCCCCTTCTGTTTTTGGGCGTTAAATAAATACTCTGTCCTTCAACAAATCCCATAATTGAAGACTGGAAATAAAAAAGGATGTAAGTGCCATTTCGGTTTAATTTACATATTTACCAGTATAATGAATGAATCAAGCCCTATAACATAAATAATAACCGATGTCCAGACGCATTTCTTGATAGTGTTACGGGGTGCTTATAGTTGTACGTGCGAATAGGATTAACGTATATAAACTAATTTTTATCGAAAGTATGAAAATGGCACTTACATCCTTTTTTATTTCAAGCCTTCAATTATTCTTCACATGATGACACATCGGAATATCTCTCCGGGCAGAGTCCACGCCTTCCTGCTCTATCATGATATGGCACATTCATGGACGTCTAATTTCGTCCCTACCTGTGTGTCACAGGTAGCGAATTTAAATAGACCCCTATTTATTTAGTTCAATATTGATTGGCACTTCTATTACTTCTGCAAAGTAGCAGTTTGAAATGTGTGTCGATGCATGCGTGAAGATAGGCTAGTACTGTCGACCGCTACCAAATGGTGTTACTGCTTCCCGAGGTAGCTCATTGCAGCAACAAATGTTCCGGCTTGCTTGTAAGCTGATAGACAACATGGACACAAACAAGTATGGGCAATGGTAGAGAGTGTGGTTTCTCCAAAAGGCAGGAGTGACTGCTTCAGACATCCACAATAGGTTAGTAGCCGTACATGAGAAATCACCACAGAGTCTCAGGTCCATGTTTCGTTGAGAATCAGAGCTCAAAGACGGCAGGACGGTGCTGAAAAACGCAAAAGCACGGCGTGTCCAGCAACTGCAGGCCAACCAATCAATGCCCAGCGCGACAATGACTCGATAATGACGAACAAATGCGATAATGCGAATGTTTGATGCATTAGAGGAGGTAACAGGTCTACCACGGGGAAGCCTCCACATCCACGAGGATTTGAAGATGGGCGAAGAATGGGCGCCCCGTACCATCGCCGCGGCGCAGTGGCGTGTGGAGTCGTGCCGACAGTTGGATAAACAGTACAGAGCAGGGCCAGCGGGGTTCTTTCGGCGTATGGTGACCGCCGACGAAACATGTTCTTCGACGAGACTCCAGATCCGCCATATTAGTTGGATTTGGCTCCTAGGGACTGTGCCCTATTCGACGCCCTGAAAGAGGTCACGCGGGGTAAGAAGTTCACCAGCAACGACGACCTTCATGTAGTTGCCCAACTGTGGCGCCGGGATACACCCAAAGAATGGGTTGCTACGCAAATATCAGAACTACCAGAATGATGGCAAACGTGCATAAACATTGGCGGTGAATACTTGTTATATGATCTGCATTCGTTTGTTAAGTAAATGGTTCCCTTAACTCAAAATAATTGTTGTGCCATAATTTTTGAACGCCCGACGTGCAATCTCTGCACGTTTTCTTCCGCTCAGGATTCCTTCCTCCACCTATTTTAATATACTATGTTGAATTAGGAATAAAGGTACCAACGAGCGTTTTTAGCAAAATTTCATAACAAGAAATATTTGTGTCCTTGTAATAGAGATTATTTTTGCGTTACAGCGGAAACGATTTACAGATTTTGGATATCTCTTATCGCCCCCCCCCCCGCCATGGTGTATACGGTCTCACAGGAATCGACTCGCCACCGCGTGAACATGAACGATTGGCACATGGTTAACGTGATATATAATCCGCGCACGTTTTCTTGAGCCCCCATTTCGCTAGACGTGCAAAGAGTGGGGAGGATGGTTATTTCAACGGCAAGACTAGTGTATCAAATCTGTAGTATCGTTTTTAGATGGAAAATATTTTCTATTGCACAGGAGCGAAATTTCTGATTATCATATTTTATTAACGACGCCCGTTACTATTATTTATTCTTATTTTTACTAATGTTAGTACAGGAGTCGGGGTAGGTTTCCAGGGCTAAAATAAAACGTGCACATATATTAATAATTAAATGTCACACTATCACCTCACAAAGCGCAAGAAAACGTACGCAGATAGTGAAGGTACATTTAGAACGGGCAGAAGCAAAATAAGAGGCCATCTCTTTTACTCAGTGGATGAAGGGAATAATTGATGTGTAGCAAGTTAATGGCACCACACGAAATCGAATTAATTGGCCATCCGCCCTGAGTTGTTGCCCCGGCCCCTTCCCGGCGTTGGTGACAGCGTGCGCTGTTTTGCCTTTCCATCTCTGGCGCCAATGATGAAGTTGATGCGTACTCAACCCTCAAACAAACCAAATTGTAGTCAGTTATGTGTTATATCACAATTCACACAACGCTGGTCTTTTGTTTCTATATTTACTTACTTTATTTTAGAATTAATGTAGTGAATTAGAATTTAGTCTTTTGCCCTCATTCATACAGCTCAGGCTTTGCAATTGATTCTGTTTCTAGCACATGTGTGTTTGTGTACTAGAAACGGGTAAGTGTAACTGGTGTTGTAATTGTACTCAGAGCCAAGTATTACAAAACATGTCATAAGTGTGAGTTGTTTTATTTTGGTTTTATAAATGTCTATTACATTTTTTCGCAGATATAGAACGTACTTTCCTTACAACAATGACATGTTCATTGATGATGATGCATCATTCGGTTGAAATCTTTTATTCGGCAAGCCGTTTCACACATTCTGTTGAGATTTGCAGGGATTAAATACGTGAATTCCTCGATGACGTTGCAACATTTCTTATCCTTAAGATATTCATATGGCTATTCCGACTGTCAACATTCTCTTGTTTTAAAAAAGAAAGAAAAAATCTCTACATTCTTACTGCTGGTTGGAGGACCCTGCGAATGAGTCTTCTATTAACAAACGGACAAAGGAGAGGATAGTATTAGCCGTTACTCCGTACAGTACGTCGGCCGGTGTCGCAGGCGTGGCTGTACTGGAAATTGCCGCTGTACCCAAATCACGGAGTCGACAGGAGCCGCAGGTACACCGCAGATGCGGACTCCGCGGCCGCGCGGCCAAGGCGCTGGAGCCAGCCATCTTAACTTCCCCCACCTCCGCCACCTTCCTTCCCCTCCTCGCGGTCGGCGGGAGCCCGGCCCGGCGTACCTCGCGCGCCGCCGCCTCCGTCGCCAGCGCCGCCTCGCCGCCGCCGCCGCCGCTGGCCTCGCCCAGTCTCCTCGAGCTCCGCGCCGCACCCGCACCCTCGTCCCGCCCGCAAGCCCCTCCGCCGCCCCCGCCCACCGCCGCCGCCAGCGCACTCGGAGTCGAAGAGCTCGCCTCGCCGCCACCGCACAGTCGCTCGCCGGCGGACGAAACAGGTGGCCGACAGACGAGTGGCGTCGCGCGTCGTGCGCCCGAAAGCGACCCGCCCGCCAACGCACACGTCCTCGCGGCCGTCCTCTCGCGCGCCGAGCCGCGCTTTGTGGAGCGCCCGCTGCCGCGCCGCGGGCCGGAGGAATGCGAGGAGCCGGTGGCCGATCGCAGCGCTGTGCGCGAACAATAGTGGAATCGGGAGAAGTGCGGGGCTGTGTTGTTGTGTAGGTGCCATCTTGAAATGAGGTGAAGGCAGGAGGAGGAGGAGGTGGCGGCAGAGGAGGAGGAGGAGACGAAGGCGTGTGTGGACTGGGCGATTGCTATGCTGCGCGTGCTGGCGCGCCGTGTCGTGTCCTCGGACGTCCACCGACGAGCGTGCCGTTGCCAGGCTGGACCGAAACGGCCACCGCGCCGGCGGACATGTGTGTTGTGAGTGGGAAACGCGCAGCGCCGTCCCTCGCTCGATTTTGAATCGCCGATCGCCATGGAACGCGAGGGCCGCATGGTGGAGGCAGCATCAGCCGAACAGGTGAGTCGAACGCCCAGAACCGGGTTGGGAGGCGACGCGGCTGCTGCGGAGCGGCGACCGCACCGCCGCCGCCGCCTCCGAGGCCGCGCAGGGGGGATGACGTCACTTTTTAAATATTGCTTTTGTTTGTCTTTTTCAAAATTCCTGCTTCGCCGCTCAGTTCGGCTTCGAATTCGCGTTCATTCACGTCGGCGGAGGCCCGCAGTGTGTTGTAGTAGTCGCGCCGGTTTCTGTGGCAGGTTTTTCAATTGATGGTAGACGTGCAAGGTGCAAGGTACCTGCGAGTACCTGCTCGCTACCCTCGGCGCCTCTATTCTGCCCCTCCGCACCCCTCGCGGCCGGGAGGGCGCAGCATTTCCTTTCGTCTTTCTAAATTTGTCCCCGGGCAGGTGCCCGACTGGGGGGAAGAGGTTCTAGGGACGACTACTTGTTGCCCAGAAAAGAAAGAAGAAAACAACTTGTACTTGCTTCCGTCGTGCTCGCGCCGTCTACCTCACAATGCCGGGGGCTATCTGTTCTTAACTTGCTTGGCTTACATTCGAATTACGCTTTCTCTAACTTACAAAACATCCTCTGGATGAAATCTCTCCGGCACAAATATGCGATCCTTTGCCCACAATGACAGCCGCCGCACAAGCGAGCAATAATGATTCTAGCCTTGAACGAGTCATTTCTTCTCTTGTTTAGTTTTTACACATTCTGAACATGTCAGTACAAAGGTTTCAAGTGCATTGGTCTCCCGGGACATTTATAATTGAGTTATCAGTGGAAGCTGACGATGTTATTTTTCCAGACTTTCTTGTTTAAATAGTAATTTTATTTTCTAATATTTGTGACAAATGTAAAAATAATATTGAATTTATTTTAAATTAACTAGAATATATTACTGCCGAGTTTCATTTTTATGAAGTTTTACTACACACAGTCGCTTAAAAATACAAAAGTCCGGGTACTGGTTTTCGAAGTATTCAAACGATCGTGTCTTTTATGATTTACTCCGCGTAATTAATTTATTTGTGTATGCATTAGTATGTGTGTACTAGCTGGGCGTTGAGATTCACGTTTTGTATTTTTTTTTTAAGCAAGTAGAGTGTTCGCTGTAACTGTTATAGTTATTCGCGTTTTGCCCTGCGAAGTTGTCGGGACTGTGCAATTTTCAACCGGTTAAAGAATGCGGACCAGCTGATTCATCGACATTACTAAGAATCATGGAATGATGAAAGGTTGGAAGTGTTCTTACGAATACCTGAGTTGATCAGAACATGCACATGCTTGACGCTTTCAGTAGGGACACTGCATTGCCACCATACGAATATGTTATTAAATGTACCCTTTTCACCAGTGTTTCGAGATTTCATTTTGTATTATTTACTGAATTTGGATATTGAATTTATGACGCCTAAAAATGATTCATTGCTCAACTACTGAATTTTACAAACCCAAGGCCATATTAAAAAAAGTAAACTAGGCCGAATATATCTATTGTCAAAGTCACAAAAAAAAACCTCACTGAATATTTCTGGGGTATGACATCAAGTTACGTTTTAAGGTTTACGAATATGTTCTTCATTGAAAGAGAATCACATAAAACAAAAAAATCTCATAAAGTGTTGGATAGTTTTAAATACGCCTCTAATATTATTAAACATCATTCATGTTTGCTTTACAAGTTTCTTTGATATACCGGGTATAAATAGTCCTGCAATGTAATACTACATAAAATATCACTAATATAGTTAGTGCACATTTAGTCGAGTCTGACGAATACGTTATGGTTATTAGAAGTATCTACCATCATTATTCTCAAATGATGCATTGTGTACACTTAGAACATATTTGTTCATTGAATTTTTTTGCCCGTGTTCCATAACTTACGTGTAGTAAAATTTTGAGAAAGGGATTCTGAACTGAAGAAAACTAGCGCAGATTTATATTTCTCCTACATACGTCAAATACATATTTCTGTATTTTTAATGTTAATAAATCAAATAAAATCATCAAAACATAAACGTACAGTATATAGAAATATATCAAAATTATTAGCACTGTTGTTTTATGAAATCGAATTTTCAGAACTAATGCATCCTTATTTGATATTCAGATAGCATTGGATCGTGCAATTACAGATCTTGCGGTTAGAGACAATCTGTTAGTAATTTTCTTACTTACTTATTGAAAATGTAAGAGCAAACACTTAATCTTCCATTTCAGCCATTCAAATTTAGGCGGTTTAAAAACATTTGAAAGTTGACGTTTCTTGATGATATCCATTTGAACCAAAGACCCTACGTTCTGCCGCCGCCCGTCCGAGAGAAAATTCGGCCGAGTCTCGGTTCGCAGGTCTCTCCAAGCGAGCCGCCCGCCCGACGTCCGGGATCCATGGACGAAAGCCTCGCATTCCTGGGCCACTTGAGGCTTGACACCTCCCTTTCCACCTCCCGGCCCGAATCGGAGGTGAAAGTGGGCTCGCTCGCGGTGGCAGGGCCTACGGAAACCAATACGTAACGATCATAACACCAACACTCCTTTCTAATTACGTCAAAACCAGGTCTCTTAATCTCTGCGTGAGGAGCTTCGACATAGATAACGGTCATGCGTGAGCGCAACGCCAGTAATGAACATAACACAACCAAACAGCTCATTCAGTTCAATCCTACTTTCAAGCTAATAGATAGCGTGAATAATATTTGCAGTAAATTACTGTAGTTGTTTCATAAATCGAGATCATTTTCATTTGCAATGTAAACTTTGTGTTAAAACTCAAAATATAAAATTGTTCTTGCTCGTCAATGCGGTCTGCTGGATATTGAAAATGTACGACGATATAAAAGTCATTAATTCTGTATCTTTTATTCTCGATTTGAGAAGTTTGCCAACATTACATTCTAACGTCTTAATTAAAACCAATCAGTGTTTGTCTATATACTATGTTGTAGGATATTAATGTATTTGATTGGTGGATTCCTAAGAATATTTAAAGACAATGTAAACATTTATTTATGTAAATCAGAAATATTTTATTGCAATAAAATACACTAGAAACACAACGTTTTGCGACTCAAAATGGCTGCGTCACGAGGTAGTCAAAACAAAAAAAGGAAATATTTAAGAGAAAAACTCGTATTAAGAAAGTCACAAATTTAAAAAAAAGACAAGTAAGAGCAACAGAATATACACAGATAAAAGCCATGTGTAGAGGTCGACCTGCACAGTTGAAATAAGATATCCAAAATATTTTATATAATAATGTGCATTTGATTATAATGCAATGTGTATGCTTTAAATAAGAGTGTTTTTATTGTCTTTAAATATGCTGAGAATACCAATGCCGTACATGCTATTACATTACCATGTCTTTCATTTCAAATTGCGTTTACGTATCTGAAACGAACATCCTCGGCTATCTCCAATGTATTGCTGTGAATTTGGCGCGGTTACTTCGAATGAAGATGCTATGATTTGAAATGGCAATTGTCTACAGCCTTCTGCCCAATAAATATTTCCGAGATTAAGACATTTTATAAATTTAAATATATGGGTTTTGCGCTATATACCTGTTATGATCATAAGAACTTTTGTTTGAGCATTTCGTCTTATGTACTTTGTGTTTTATAAGGAGAAGCTTTCGTCTTTCAAAATGTTCTTAAACATGTTGCATCGGGATTTTCAATTTACCACGAATCCGTTGAAATGAAGTCTAAAAACTACAGATTTCGCTGACGGTAATTATTCTGTGGTCAACTTTTTATAGCATAATCCTTTATTAAGTATATCTACTTAATATGCCCACCAACAATTTGAGATAATTTTTGAAAACAACAACAACAACAAAACACGTTTGTAAGTCAAGGCAATATTGACGTTTGTCTAGTTTTTCACGAGAGAATAAACTGATAATTTTGTTGGAAGTAATCGGCCATACGGTAGAATGGATTGAAAGACCGTAAACACGTAAATTAAGTATAGAACTGGTATCAATATATTTGTTTAATTTTGTCGTCGAGGAGATGATGTTAGTTTACTAACATGCATAAGCATGTTTTATAACAAAGTATGTTCTAATGTAACAACCTGCTGCTGTGTTTGAAAAAATAATTTCATTGGCGAACGTGATTTATAGATTAAATATCAAGATAAAAACAATTGCCAATTTTCTTGATTTACCTATATATATATATATATAATAGTATATATATATATATATATAATATATACTCACTCACTATATATATAATGTTACTTACGATGTATGCGGTGCTTCATTCGAGACGAAGACGATACTGATCAAATGGCGAGTGAATAGCGAATAGCAGGTGGTGTCCCTTGGTAAGAATGTTGCTTTTCGCAGCACAAATTTAAAGTTAGGAACTTTGACGGAAACTTAAACAACAGAAGGCGAAACATTGACTATCAAAGTAACTTTAACTATCAAACCAAGTAACGAAATTATATCGTACCAATGTTTGCTAAAATGCTTAGAGATGTGCTTGTATCTGACATAGTTATATATGGGAATGAATTTACGTTTAGGGGTGGAGGTTTTTAAAGTTTTGAGTTAAAATATGTAAGAGTTTTTCAGTTTTATAGTATTGTCGTATGCCAAAGTAACGATATTTTATGATTTGTTACTGATTTAGTTTTAGTCTTACACTGGAACGTGAGAAATGTTCACCAAAGAAAAACGATTTTAATTTATTTCATATTGTAAAATAATATCCGACAGACAAATATCTGGAAACTCATTTAAATAATACAGTGTCTCGTGTTTGGTGTGCAATTGGACACTATACTTTTTGTGGCGTTCGTTCTGATGAAGTTGAGCTTACATGTTAACTTCTATTATCTTATTCACGTGACTACCCTCAACTTCATAAGTTGGTTCCATTAAAGCCACAAAGTCCGCCTCCCTTTTGCTATTGTCGCGGAGGGCTGGTCTCCCAGTACAATTTCGGACTGTTAATGCCTCCACCGGACGAAGTTTAGCGGCCCGCGCGGCATCGTTTATTTTATTTGAAAGAGCTGCCTGCCTGGTGGCGGGCGGCGGGCGGCCGCTCCACCGCATCCGCCCCGGCCAGGCGCGGCCTGCCGGCCCTCCCTGGGAAAGGAGTGAATCGTTGCAGGGCTCCGCCCCAGGGCAGTGCATCCTCCCTCCTCGACGGACTAAAAGGCGGCGCGTTTTCCTGGCGAGTCGGGGTGGACGAGGTGCGGCGGCCCGGGCGCGACGGAAGGGGAAGAGGGTGGGGGTGGGGAGACGGAGGGGAAGGGAGGATGGCGTGGGGGACACGGAGCCCAAGAGAGAGGCCAGCGCTTCCCGTTCTTCGCAGAATAGGACGCTCTTCCAGGCGATGGTGGCGCCGATAAACGAGCTTGGCTGGGCGGGCTCCGGGAGGCGTTCATGGCGGCGCGGGCAATGAACGGGGTGCTAGGCCGCGCGCGCGCACGCCGGTGGCCGCGAACGGGTGAGGGGGAGGGGAGGGGGATACGTTCAGATGGCTGATACGCAGCGCGGGCGACGTTTCGGGAAAGTCGGAGGGGGCGGAGGCAGAGGAGCGAGGGAGGAGAAACAAATAAAACAAATTGGTAGGGGGCAGATAAAGGTTTGTTAACACGGCATTAGAACTGACGTAGGAGGGGATAGAATTAGCTTGGGGATTCGTGTGGGAGAGGAAACCTTTCTCTGATTCAAGATAAAGGTATTAATTATGTTCAAATTAATATTTTTCTTTCCAATACCAACTTGGACAGCAAGTAAACTCGTAATTGATTTTCTATTGTGATAAAGATTAAAATTATTTTCCGTACTTAAGTATCCAGTTCATGGGCATTGCCTAGTATTATTTTGATAATTTAGAATTTGGTAAATATTTAATATATTAAAGTTGTAAGAATTATTGTTTTGCAGAAGTATTTACGTGCGTAAAATTCATTAGCAGAAAATTGTAATTTTGTGAACCCATTGTGAAAAGGAGGTTAGTCTATTGTTTTACGGAACCTCCATACAAACTGAATGACGATCACCATACTTGAATTTCATTCATCGAAAGGCATATTATGTAATGATTCCTTTGAACATGACATCCGTGTTCTATGAGTTACCGGCCCTCACGTGGTTGCACTCCATTCTTGCACAACTTCAAAAAGACAACTTTTTTTCATTTATTTATGCACAGCTCGTGAGTGTACGGCACGGAGCTCCACGCTGCGGAGAAAGTAGTCGTGTCGACTGGAGGATCTATTGTTCTGGCCAATATTCGGACACGAGTTCGACGTCGGATGCATGGCGTTCCCAACGTTCGGCAACGAAGAGTGATAAGTAGCACGCCCACCACAAAGACTCCAGGAACGGCTGCGAGAGGAACACCCCCTTCAACGTTCCAAGGAAGTGTAAAAAAAATGTTGCGAGAGAGATTGTTTCGTTGACATGCATTAGAGGGATACGTATTACGTTTGAAAGATTAGATCGTGAGGGCCCTTATCCCTTTCATCCCTTGGATGACATGCAGGCGAGGCCTTTGAGATGCTTCTGAACTTGTACTCCACGCTCCACGGACCAGTGGGTTTTTGTGCGCCCTTATTTGAATAGGGGTCCCGCGGTGGAATTAGGAGAATGGAAGGCACTTCGCAGGTATGAACATTCCTTCTGGAACAAGATAAATGGTTTCCTCTTTACTGAGCCACACATCTGTGTGCGAATTAGGAATATATTTCTTTTCTAACAGCGTAATACTGTTTTATAATGCTTTAAAAGGAAATTTTTAATTTTTGAATCTCGTTGAACATTATGCATAATAGTAGCTTAGAACTGGATCTTCTGCAGATATCTGGCCTAAGATTCAGAATGACATCTTTATGGTATTAAATACTTTTCCTTGCCAGATTTCACATTAACAATGACATATCTCCTTGCTAGTTATGTTCACTGGCATTTTGTGCTTATTGTGGACATGGCTCAGAATAAACGTTGGTTTGAGACTTATACATGTGATTTGATTTAATGTGTTAACACATCATTCACATGGATGTTGTGATGAGTAAAATACATTTTACCTGTGCACCTTGGAACACAAATGGACATTACAAAAAAAAGTAACGCAGTAATACCCTCTTGTATTCTCATAATCTACAGTGAAGCACTTACATTACAAGTGGAATACATTATATTATTTTCTGTGTGCTCCAATTTTACTAACATTTCCGTATAAGGCATCAAAGTTTTGACGATTCGGAAAAACCTGAATGGCGGATTTAAAAAGTTATTATGTCTCCACTGAAATGATTCTGCAGTTGGTGCCGTTGGAAGAGACCGCTCCTGTCTGCCTCATTCTCATTTGCTCAAGTCAAGCGTTAGTTCTGAACGTGAGCATTGTACATACGAGCGTTATTCTTTCAAGCACGCTCGTGGAAGATCTAAAGATTTACTTCTTTCCCAGAGCAATGCTCTCAGGATGTACGAGAGCCCGTCTGCGCAAGTAAATTCATGAATTTTGTCGGCTTCTTTTAAGACT